TAGAGCCAGAGAATGATAAGATGCAGATGAGAAAATGTCTGTCAATGTAAGTAAAAATGTATCATATACTCTGACTCGTCTAGGTCTAGCAAAAAGAAATGTCTTCATTTATATTCTCTAATATGCAACACTAAAAGAAAAAGTTTCATATGATCAAATCAAAGTGACATTAACAACTATTCTTGTTGCACGATTAGGAAATCCAGGATACTCACATGTTCCCCTCTGTACATGCGGCTGATCTTCTCTGTCAACTGCGCAGCCTGCATATAGAAACGAGCATCTACTGTCAGAGGATAAATTGAATAAAAGTCTCTAGTGAAATCTGCCAATAAACATCTGCATTCACCTTTGCCAAGTTCAAAAGCTTGTCCATTGTCTCGACAGTTGCACTCTGTCGAGAATAATCTAACAGCAGCCCGTCAATTTCCCTGATAAAAAACATACCAATAAAGCAAGGACTTAATATCGGAACCCACCAATAACAAAGCAATGGGAACTAGAGACAATCTACTTGAAACGAAAACGAAGTTTGAAGGCAAGACACTAAACAAGAACATCCACAATTTCTCTATAAAGCAATGAAGATAAACTTAAACCATTCAAAAACAATACAAGAGAAAAGGTCAACATTTGACATTGTCTCGAGTAACTTACTAGGCATCAACAGATTTCAATATCAAACATATATATACTTAACACAATTAGACCCAAAAAAGAAGAAGTAAAAGAAGACAGACATACACCATCATCGACTCGCATCTGTTTGCATCACTCATCAAATCACGCAAATGGGTCTTCTTAATATCTTCCACATGCCCCTGCGAAAGTTCGGAAACACCGGAAAATCCCTCAAATCACATCTCAAAACCTTCGACTCCGACACAGTCACCATTGAAAAACTAAAGAACAGAGAAATCCTTAACACTACCTTCAAATCCTTCCATGCCTCTGAGTCACAAATCAGAGCCGTTGACGACGCCATACTAGTAATCATCAACAACAACAAAAATCAATTACATGTCAATAATAAGCCAATTTCACTCTTTATGCAGCTATCATAATACGATTGCATTCGGAAAAATAGGAAAATTCGGATTCCGCTAAATCACATCCATTTCACTGTGTTATCCTCATCACCATTAAACAAAAGAAACTCAGTAAACAGTTCTGATTGAAATTGACCTCGACGATTTGGTATCAAAGAAGAACACAGAAAAACTAGAGAATCGGTACAGAGATTTAGCTCGAGAGTCGTAGCATCCAAACCATATAAACGATTCAACGGAACAAAAAACGCTAAAATAATTGATTTGGTACAACAAGTGAGATTGGTCGAGAGAAGGAAAAAAGTGAAAACAAACCTGAGGATCTTCGAAGGTGAGGT